ATCGAGATTAGATTTTTGTTGTTAGAGGTGTGAATGCATTCAAAACTTCGATTATCTACACGAATAACAAAAATGTTACTTGAGGAACATAAAGTAAGGCATTAGTGGTAATGGCTTTTTGGCGTGGTGGCATCGTTTCAGAGTTCAGGACACTACGTGAGGTCGATTTCAGTCATCTTGTGAACGTTTCTTTTTATGTTGAATCTTTGCTTTTCAAACGTTACTGATGAAATTGAAAATTTGGTATCCAAGATGGGTTGTGCTAATTTATTCAAACTTACTTCTTTTGTTTGTCGGAAGGAGATGTTAGTTATCCATTGTAAACACCTAACAGTCATTACTCCTTATTAGTCGGTGCTGTGTTCTAGTCACTCGAGGTTGGTGAAGCCTCAGTTGGTAGGGCCGATCGGCTTATATGGATTAGGGTCCGCTTTCCGAGTTTCAGAAACTCGCCGTTTGCATGTGATTTCTTGGAGAAATCGTTAGAATCCTCGAGTCTTGACCCGCAGGCTTCGCACTTGGGGCAAATACAAGTCACATCCATACCAGTAACATAAGATTACACCCATGAATCTCTTGACATACGCATAGGTATACTCACTCTGAGCAAATATACGTTACACCCAAAGTGGTAACACACAAGTTTTCACTTATGCTACCAGTAACATACATCTAGGTATATTCACCCGCTTGGGAGTGTAGATGATCACCGCTCCCTTAGAACGTATTTGCTACGACTGACTCTCTTACGCATTACATACACACCACTGGTACAAAGACTTTACACATTCACTTTGTGAGATACACATAAGTATAAGCGCTCTCGGGTAACGTTCGTGGTCACATCTTAGTACTTGCTACCATGCCTTTTTATTACGTATTCGACCTGATAGTTTAGGCCGCTGATTTTATTAGACCTCTAGAGGAAATAGACATTTCTTAGTGTCTCTTAAAATAAATCTCATTATGAACTTGATAATACCAACGACAACATTTAACAGAGCTATCTGGCTTTGTTTATTGTTATTGAAAAATTTGATCAAGAAATTGTGGTGTGCGCTACTGATGTCAGCTGATATAAGTAGTATGTGCCATCAATAAAAAGTGAAATGTTTAGTGGCAGAAGGTTAAGCAAATCGAAGGAAAGAGAATGAGTGATTGGTGTGGAAATGAAAGAACAATGAAGTCTGTGACCATTGATTGACATTTGCCAAAGAAACAGTGCATTTTGAAACAACTGATTGTTATTTTGCAAATGAAGTATTTACAGTATGGTTCTTAGATTTTACTAAGATGTTCTGTAATTTTGTGTTCAATTACATTTGGCTGTCCCCACTTGTGTTCTGCTTCACTTCATAATACCAGTTTGGAGACCAGAAGACAATGGAAACCTGATCACTCTAATTATGAAACTTCCTTACATCTTTATCTAACATTTTAACAGAATCCCAACCTGACTGGTTTGAATTATTTTTTCTGGTTGGCGTTTTTTAAGTCAGTTAGTTTTTCTACGGGATGGGGTCGCTAATCACATGCCCAACCCTACTCCTTTACCCATGCTTCAGACCCGCAGTAACTCTAGAAGAGCTACAGGCGGAGGGGAGGCGAAAAAAAGGAAGGCCAAAGAACACACTACGCCGGGAAAATAGAAGCAGATATGAAAAGAATGAATAACAACTGGAAAGAATTTTCCTGGACAGAGTTAGATGGAGAATGCTGATGAGGGGCCTATGCTCCTCCACGAGTGGTAACATGCGTAAGTTCCAACCTGGCTGATTAATGCTTCCTCTTTTACTCATATATTTTATCATTTCATTTTTTAAGTAAATCCAATCAACTCATCTTACTTATCAACCACCATTAATATGTATTCACTATTTTACCAATCTCTCCATTTATTTCTTGCCATCTCACTTGATAATACTAATCTAAATGGTGCTCTAGAAAGTTTCTTTCGATGTAATGCTGGTTTCTAACGACACATTCACTTTCTGAAACATCATCTAGATTTGTAGATAAATATCGATTTTACAAGAAAAACAGTTGACGCAATTGTTGAAGTTTTTTCACTCACTCAACTCCACTGCTCGCGGTTTGTACCAGAGATTCCGAAGCTTATCTCGAACAAAATCAACCAAAATGCTTAATTTTCAATAGATTCTCTTATTTAGTTCTGAAGATTCCATCATTTCCATAGTGATTTTACAAGATACTAAACAAACTACTAATACTGTTATTAAGTAATATGACTGTTAATTGCATTCACATATTAGATACGATTGAACTAATTGATCAGAAGATAATATGGGCAATCCTTCGACTATTCATCAAACTTAACCTGATGACAAAAAACTTTGAAATACTGTTGTCATGCATATTTTCAGGAGACTCTATTTACCTGGGTGAGGTACTGACTGTGAGACAGTAATTGTTTAAGTGAAAGGATATAGCAGTTTAAAAATCCTCATACAATATTTAAAAATGAAGAATATTTGAGAAAACAATTGTTTCTCCAATAACTTCATCATCAGGCTCTACAGTTATCAGTCCATAATTATTGTGATATTTGGAAAAGGCCAAAATAAGGTATGTATTAATAAATTTAATAGTTCAGTTCATTAATTAATTAAAGCTAGACCACCATGGAAGAACTGGACGACCATTTTGTCCTTGAATGAGACCTCTCAATAGTACGCATCCGTGACCCCACCCGTGACATTCAAACCCAGAACCTTCGGTCTTGCTTACGAGCGCTTAACCCCTAGAAATTCGACAATGTTACGTGTTTAAAAAAAATGATGAACGTTTGCATCTTTTGCGAAATATATACTTCAAAAATTGTGTTATTTGTAAATTGAAAAGATCATTTAATAAAGATCAGAATGATTTAGAGTCAAGTGTCAAATCAGAATCAGTATAATAGTAATACAATAAAAATGCAAAAAGGTTTATCCGGTGATCAGCATTTGCTCTGTTAAATATCGATATCCAAAAGACTATTGCAAATCCTTACGTCGATGTAAGATTAAACCTAATATTAAGTCGCTGAAAAGATATGCGCGTAATCAAGTTGAAACTTCCAAACGTATCTCGTCGAGTTCATGATTTTACTCAAAATTTTAAGGAATCATGTATCAATTATGTTATAGAAGTGCAAAGAATGAGGGAAAACAAAAAAGGAATGGATCTAATAAAAGGACTAGGCAACCGGATTTTTCAGACGACCTTAACATGTATATTTTTAACTTTTCCTATGTTAATCTCGATAGGACTCAACTAGGAGTTTTATCATTAGGTCCTAAGTTTTGTGATAGTCGTAAACACATAGATTATCTGAAGACTGATGTTCAGTTTGAGAATTATTTTACCCACACACACGACAAAGGTCGAGCATGAAAGATTCAAGACTCCACTGGTTAATTGCTGTAACCAATTTAGAAGTAACAAGTATCACACAAATAGTATATTGAGTGTTAAACATCGCGAGGCTATCCGGAAACTAAAATAGAATGAGCACATTCTTATCACTAACTCTGGTAAAGGGTCGGGTATCGTAATTTTAAACAAGACAGATTACATGGATAAGATGAATATCCTTCTGAGTGACCAAATTAAATTCCAAAAGCTTGGGTCACGTAAAGACCGAACGTCGATCAACTACATCAATAAAACTTCTAAATCAACATCAATACATCTCTGAGCATACCTATAATAGGCTCAAACCATCTGGAACATATATCCCTCGACTCTATGGCCTACCTAAGATTCATAAACCTGAGGTTCCTTTACGCCGAATTCCGGACATTACGAACTCATCACACCATTCAACAACAAAATGGTTGGTGAAGTTATTAGAGCCATTACACCGAAACTTGGTTAAGCATAGTGTTAAAGACTTATTTGGATTTGTGGACACAATATAAATGGCAAAACCATGTTATCACTAGATATAGCAGCTTTGTTCACTAACATCTTTTGGACTCAAAATATCGATTACATATATGAACAACTCCTAGAAAATAAAATAGAGATACCGATCCCAGTAAGTAAAATGAAGGAACTTCTATTGAGATGTACTATGAATATCTACTTTAAGTTTAACAATGAATTTTACAGACAAGTAGATGGAGTATCAATGGGATCATCCCTCTGCTCGATCGTTGCTAATATTTTTCTGGCCAAACTAGAAAATGGATCGTTAAAAGACATCCTAAGTAAGCTAAATTATTACTGTCGATACATAGATGACACACTAATCATTTCTGACAAAAATATCGACAAACAAGAGACGTTGAAATTTTTCACCAACGACGAGGACAAAGACAACAGTAAAGCTTTCCTTGATTTTCTACTTTGTAGAAGGATATATGGTTCCACAAAAAGAAATATATTTAGGAAGGACACATGGGCGGGTTAGTACGCTCATTTTCATAGCTTCACATCTCTAAATCATTCTGACATTTATGAAATAAGCTTTCTAATTTTACAAATAACACAATTTTGAAGTACATATATTGTAACAGATGCAAACAATCATCATTTTTAACATATAACATTGTGCATTTCATGGTTGAAAGCGTGAGTCAATTGAAGCTAGACCACCAAGGAAAACCTGGAAGCACTGGACGGTCATTTCGTCCTATTGTAGGACATCCAGTGATTTCAAGTTTTCCTTGGTGATTTAGCTTCAATTGAATAACGCTTTCAACTATGAAAATACTAAATCTCCACAAAAAACCCCTTCTGATTATCTATTTCATTAATACACTGCCTTATTTTGACCTTTGCTAAATATCACAATAATTATGAAGCTTTAATATTAGAGCCTGATGATGAAGTTATCGAAGAATCAATTGTTCGTTTAGATATTCTTCTTTTTTTTGAAAGATTATATACAAACACCAAATGTCGAATCTCGCGAGTGCGAGATCGTGGATGCGCACTGCTGAGGAGTCCTATAATAGGATGAAACAGCCGCCCAGTACTTCCAGGTTTTCCATGGTGGTCTAGCTCAAGCTAGATTGACTCACGCTTTCAACTATGAGAATACTAAATTTCCACAAAACCCCTTCTGAAATAACATTGTTCTATGTAGTTGTTAGATGATTGTTTTATATCTAAAGGAAAAGAAGTCTTTATTAATTGTACAGAAATATTTCATTAGTTACAGATTCAAATTGTTTCCCCTTATCAATCAAGTTGTTTTATTTATTGTTTTTTTGGATGTTTACGATGTCTATTAAGAAATTTCATTCTGTTTTTTGAACATTTACGATTACGTATAGGATCCCATTGCTTCGGTTTGTGAATAGGACATTTAACATTGGTGATATTCGTGGAAGTTGTAGATTGTTGTTGAGAATTATGAGATGATATCACTTCTTGTAATCCAGACTAAATAAAAAACAAAACAATCATAAAAATGTTAAAACAATGTATGTAGAAGGTTTATATTGAATAGTATATATTTATTTAAATTTATAACGGTTATCATAACTCCGTCTGTAGCTCCTGTCGGTACCAAGCCCGGATAAAGGAGGAGGGTTTGGCATGGGGTTATCGACCCTATCTCGTAGAAAACTAACTCGCTAAAAAAACGCTAACCAGTAAGTAAGTAAGTGATAACGCTTATCATATATAATCATGTGATAGTAGTCAGATTTAACTTTATGTACTTAGCTCTAAGTCATACCTTCATGTAAAGGATAGTGATACTATCTGGTTGAGTGAAGTAAAATGAATAGAATAGGTTTTCGGTCAGAAAACTGATGAAAGTCAATTTTGTTATAGACAGTCGGACTTGATTTTCATTTGCTTTACATTTATAAATAACTATTAAATCACGGAATGTTGTTAAAGGCAATCATACTTAAGTATACAATGAAGGATGTGTTATATTATTAGCTGAATGAAATTGAATAAAGTCAAATGATTTCAGTATTCGACAGTATTTTGTAGATTCCATCAACAAAAACTGGTGATCCTATGAGATGATTACAGGAAAATCTTTAAGAATATATTATTTGTGAAGATTATATTTGAAACAGTTTCAACGTTTCGTCCAACAAATTTGTCTGAACTTCCTCAGGGTAATGATCATAATCGAAATTCTTGAAGAAATATGTAATACCTTAACAACCAACTCATTTCTACACTCAATGCTTATCCAATCATATTGAGATGATGACTTTATTAAATGGGAAATTAATTTGACTCGGTAAGATTATGAATGTGTGTGTGCGTGTATGTGTAACTTAAACTCACTAATATTTGATGAGTAAATGTTAACCATTTGGTTTGTCTCGGATAAATCAAGTTTGGGAGGGAAAGTTCTAGAACATTGAAAAAGGGATTAGAACTCATGAAGTCAACAAACATGATTATGTAATGAAGCAACTAAAAACAGATTATTGGTAATAAAGAAAGATATGAATTGAAATCAGTCAATTATGAATTGGAGAAAAATGACGATGATGTGATTTAAATTTCAGAAAGAGTTGCTGATTCCTATTTTAATGTTCGGAAACTTTCCCTCTCAAACTTTGTTTATCCGAAACAAAACAAATAATTAACATTCACTTATCAAATATTAGTGAATTTAAGTTATACATACATACATTATTCATAATCGTATTGACTCAAATTATTGCACAGGTTTGGCATCGCGTGTTCGGGCACAGAGACGATAATTCAATTGGTGTCACCATCTTGAAACACCAACTTTGGTGGCTTGAACATGTTCTACGAATGTTGTCCCAGAGACTTCCACGTCGTGTATTATTTGCCGACTCTGGGACTGGTTGGAAAAAGCGGAGAGGTGGTCAGTGTAGGACATGGTGTCGTGGTATGAAAGAAAGCTGCAAAGGGCTAGCTTCTGTTGGTCCTTCACGACTCCGTGGCTGGGATCCGAGAGATGGTACATTACAGTGGCTAGAGACGTTATCAGATATGGCTCAGAATAGAGGCCAGTGGCAATCCTGCTGTAAACTTCTTTTACATTCTTCATAGAGTGGTCATAACTTCCTTAACTGAAAGAGTTCTTCCGGTTGTACATTTCAGTTTCCCTCATCATTACTTTTATTATTATTTATATATGCATCTTACCCCTTTTCTCTTTTCGTTCTCATTGTTTTGTGTGGCGCAAATATATCTGGTGCCCCCATCATCTCAATATGATTGGATAAGTATTGAGCGTAGATATGATTTTATTGTTAAAGCATTATATATTTCTTTGATAATTTTGATTATGATCATTACCCTAAAGAAGTTCAGACGAATTTGTTGAACGAAACGTTGAAATTTCAATTGTTGAGATTATTTCAAATATAATTTTCACAAATAATACCTTCCCAATTTCTATTAAATTATTCGGTTATATATTGAAGAATATTAGTATAATTATCTATTTATTTAAATATAAATATTGGTACAATGAAGCAGCAGATACATATGCGTAACACAAACCTCATTTTATAGGCTTACATGTGCAATTGTAGGTACATACTATTGAAGTGTTCTAAGCTTGAACCAACCCTCTTATCCAGTCCTCGATACCTCACGAAATGAAATCAGTTCATGAGTAATATTTCAAAATTTAAAGTCTTTATTAAATCACCTATTTCAAATGACATTTGTATATATGCTTATCTACAGCATGGCTATATTTTACTAAAAATTTTATTCATAACTATATGAGTATTACTTAGGTTCATCATAGAGTACCATATTGAAACTGTAGTTTGATTAATGAGATAGTAAAACTTCGTCGACCTTGGCAGTCAAAATATGTATTACATATTCTTAAATACAGCTTACTCACAATGTGTAATACTGATTGCTTTAGAAGTGGATTAGGGGAAAGCTAAGAGGAGAAACCAATACATGGCATTAATCCACGAAGTTATTGACCATTAATCCGGCCCATAAGTCGATAGACGCAAATTTCATTACTAAAGCAGGCGCAATAATCGTTTTTGTTTGGGAACATTAAGTAACGTCATACAAAGTCTGCTACAGTGGCCCAGCTTCATTTATCCCTCCTCTAAATTTTGAATTGAATGTTATCCTTAACTTTCCGTTTTTCCATCTCATTTGTTCCATTTGAACTGAATGTCTCCTGTTCTAATTTCCATTGAATTTTATGTTATTTCCTGTCTCACTATGCTGGTGTAAGATATGGTAACTTGGATGAATACAAATTCATGTTCTTTCATACGTTTAGAGACTGATAATTTATTTTACATATTGCTGATGTTGTGAAGTATTCGTGACCAAATCGAAGTTTCTTTTCTGAAACTGACGTCTGTAATCATAAATTTGTTGTACGGAGCTGAAACGTGGAAAACTACTACATCCATCGTCAAGAAGGCACAAGTATTTATCAACAGATGTCTATCCAAAATACTCAACATTCATTGGCCGGATACTATCAACAACAGCGTTTTATGGGAGAGGACAAACCAGCTTCCGATTGAAGAGGAAATTAGGAAAAGACGTTGGAAGTGGATCGGACATACATTAAGGAAATCACCAATGTGCATTACAAGGCAAGCCCTAACTTGGAATCCGGAAGGGAAGCGGAAAAGAGGAAGGCCAAAGAACACACTACGCCGGGAAATAGAAGCAGATATGAAAAAGATGAATAACAACTGGAAACGAAGGCTGAGGACAGAGTTGGATGGAGAATGCTGGTGAGGGGCCTATGTTCCTCGACGAGGGGTAACAGGCGTACGTAAGTAAGTAAGTAATACATATTCTAACCGCCAAGGTTGATTAAATTTTACTATCTCATCAATCAAATTACAGTTTCAATATGGTACTCTATGATGAACCTAAGTAATACTCATATATAAGAACTCTCGTCTAAATTAGAGCGAATAGTTTCACAGTATTTGAGCGCCGAGTTGATGTAAGACATTAAATAGGAATAATATATATTTGTAAAATCTCAGCGAATGAATTTGTAGTAAATCCAACGTTTCGCCTGGCAATCTGGTCCAAGCTTTTTCAAGATAATTCCTTGAAAAATCTTGGACCAGATTGCCAGGCGAAACGTTGGATTTACTACAAATTCATTCGCTGAGATTTTACAAATATATCATTCTTATTTAATGTAATACTCATATAGTTATGAATAAAATTTTTAGTAAAATATAGCCATGCTGTAGATAAGCATATATACAAATGTCATTTGAAATAGGTGATTTAATAAAGACTTTAAATTTTGAAATATTACTCATGAACTGATTTCATTTCGTGAGGTATCGAGGACTGGATAAGAGGGTTGGTTCAAGCTTAGAACACTTCAATAGTATGTACCTACAATTGCACATGTAAGCCTATAAAATTCAGGGCTATCAGAGTCCAATAGTACGTTTTCCCTTTTTCAATTAATATAGGATAAAGCGAAAATCTAGAACGATGCTATCACGGAATGACTATTGTTGGGGATGTCAAATCCCCAGAACTTACTCAGTAAATGGCTTAATTTCATAATTTTATTTTGGAAATTTGAAATTCTTTGTTTTCGCTCCAAAAGCGCTCTTTTCACCTTTGGGTCGAATTTCCCTCTTGTAAAATATCTTAACGCTATTGGCCCATTGTTTCTTTGGGTGTGTTATTTTGTAATACTTTCCAAGGACAATTCATTGCTGTATATATATACGTTTGATTTTCCCCCTTATTATTGATGTGCTTCTGGCTACTACGGAATATATTTTCCCCGCTTCCAACTTGGACTTTTTACTCTAGTTAGCTGGGTCTGGGTCGCATCAGAATAGCTAGCTTATTGGTCTTTGGTCACAAGTTTTTTTTCCGTTTGTTACCGAGAAAATCGACTTAGCTCAAGCAAAACAACTATCTTAGTAATTATTAAGTCTCTAACCGTTAAGAGCTTTTTGCCAGAACAAATAAACCAATCATAGTCAGCGGAAAGCCTGACAGTCAGCTGACTTATACAACATTTGCATGAATTAATATCAGTTTAAAAATAGTAAAGAAATCGAAATAATCGTGACGGGGGAAACTGAAACTTGGGAATATGGTTAGAAAAGACAGAATAAGAAAGAATTCATAAAGGATTACTATAATTCAAGATCCATTTGGTTGCGGGTTCTCTTATGATAAAATCATCTTTTTTTTAAAATCATTCTTTACAAAATAGAGAAGTAACAAAAAAAAACACATTTACATATGACAAACCTCATATTCATCTTTTACATTGAGTACACCTTGTTCTTCTAGATTTTTATTCTTCTTGACTTCTTTGGTTGTTGAAGTTCGATGCTTTTTACTTGATTCCCAAACACGTTTCACAGAAGTATATAGACGCATAGTAGCTCTAGCATCTTCAACTGAGTCATGTTCACCACTTTGTACATTAATACCAAGAACTTTTTGAGTTAAGGCTTTGAGTGATGGTATACGACCATTGAATAAATCTCGAAATGGACGATAACGTGATGTATCACGAATAAAACGACGAGGGTGCGACAGTCTTAGAACCTGTCAGTTACAAGAATAAAAAAAGAGAATAAAAAGGTACTTGGCTGAAAATAATTAAGGAATAAAACCATAACGACATGAAAATTTACAAAGCAAAACGTCTTCAATACTTAAATCAAAACATAGTAGTATGATAAGTAGCTGATTAGGAAGATATGAAGTAATACCGAACTGGATAATCTTCCAACATTACTGATCGTTTACAATAGCGAGATGTTCACGCAAGCTCCGTAAAGTAATTAACTACAAAAGGAAGTTGATAGTAAAAAAATATTTTAAGCGCTTATCTTCTACCGGATAAAGACTTACATCCCGTCATATGAATCTTCGTTATTATGTGAGGTTGTAATTTTCACAACGGCTCGAGTAATACTTAAAACGTTTAGTCAATATCAGTAATTCAAGTCTGCATTCTGTAATTATTGCAGAAAGAGACTTACAAAGACTATTTGGTATAATGGATAGTTTAAAGTATTTCTCTCTTCCTCACTTATATTACGACAATACGTTAATACGATAATAAGGCTAGTCACGTTATATTAGATCCAGGATTCACGACCCAGATTATAGACTAGATAACACCTGATTCAGTACAATTACAAGCAGCCGCCCTCAGTGAGTTCAGAGTGAACATTAATGAGAGGAAAGAAAATCACCTATTTAATGGTAAGTAGCGTGTGACATGAGAAGAATGAGCAACAACTGGATAGAACTAGAAAGGAAGGCCCAGGACAGAGTGGGTTGGAGAATGCTGGTCGGCGGCCTATGCTCCATTGGGACTAACAGGCGTAAGTAAGTAAGTGTGTGTCTGTTTGTCCACACATATTTTAGTTTCACTAACACATATCATTGTTATATTATCCCTCAGAGGGTCGATGATTGTCTAAAACTCATGGACATATTTCACTGCACAAAACAATTAACAGGCTAGACAATGTAAAGGTTACCGTATATCAAATTGGACCACAATGGGATACATTAGTAGTATTAGTAGGAAACGGATAGTCTTATAATTGAGGGGAATAATGAATTCTTCTAAAAAATATTAGAGATACTTCTAGTGTACATATAGATATACTAGTCAACTGGTCAAAACCAAAATAATCTTGAATTTAGTGGGTGCAGTAAATTTATCTAACATATAGAGTGATTAGAAAACTTGGCTTTCATTGGATTTCTTCATCTGAAACTTATTCTATTGATTTGAATTCACACAACATTTGATATAAACAATGAGAATTCATAATCGATTCGGTTGTTAGATATGGGAAAACATAACTATTTGACGGGTTCCATACTTATGGATCTATGCATTAATCGAGTACTGAAACCAGTCAGTCAGTCAGTCACAACGTAGAACTTCGTACGTACGTACATCAGTTCGAGTTGCCATATACTGAAATCAAGTATATTGCAAACAATCTAGAAATCAATTCATTTGTTATCACATCAGTTGTACTATAAATTTTCATCTTAGTAAACCAAAAACGACAATTTACTCAACATACTTTAAGATCCTTCAGGATAGAATGTCCAACTAATATTTTATTCTTTATCAATTCTGCAACTTCTTTGTGCACATCATTGAACGATCGAGCTGATCCATTTTTCCGTAAATCACGAGGTCTTATACCAGAGACTTTTGTTCGATAATCAACAACACGTTCTTCTGGACGTACATAAGTATCTAATAGGGTATGACCGAATTGATTTACAATTGAAACACGTGCTAATGCATCATCTTTTCCCTCAAAACCAACTCCAACAAATTCACAATCCATTGCAATACGACGTGTTGGACTGTTAAAAAATGTACACAGAAATATACACACCAAAATACATGTTTATCAGTTTTATTTTTACCCAAACAATAGATTATCAATAAATAATCCAATTAAAGTTTAAAATTGACTAAACTTATTCGTTTGGAAGAATTATCAGTGAAACATCAGAAGTATTACCGGATATACCCTTCTAGGGTTACTGACAGTTGCGAGGCAGAGTAAAGTGGAAGGGTTGAACAATCTGGTTGGAAAATGCTTACCAGAAAAAAATTCCTATAAGTATCAATGCCAAGGTTGGACTTGATAGTTTCAAATAAATTGTGTATTGGTTAGAAAGTTGATAATAAACATATTTTTGTTATATCCCAATGAGTCAAAAACGTTGTAGTTCTGACGTTTCTTGACTTAATGTAAGCCACTTCTTTAAAGTATTTTTTTATTTACTCACGAAACGTTAGAAATACAACTTTCCTACTTATTGAGATATAACAAAAAATATATTTACGATCACTTAAACTCTGACCTGGAAGCTGAAAGATTTTCATTTAAAAGAATTGTGACGCTTCATGATGAAAGCCGAGATTTTTGGAAACGACGAGGCCGATGACCCTTCTAACAACCACAGGAACAATCAACATAGGTACATGCAATGTTTGGACAATGTAGGAGACCGTAAGGACCGATCAGATAGCTGCGGAAATGAAGAGATACAACATGGCAGAGTTCGGAATCAGTGAAACTCATTGAAATCAAGCTGGATAGAAAAGATTAGATTCGGAAGAGATGCCACACAGAAAAGCAAGAAAATCACTTATAAGACGAGAATCTCATAGATCCAGAATTATCAAGGCGTCCTTTAAAACAAAGAAGGGGATCATAATGAAAGTTACCCAGTGTTAGGCCTCTACCGATGGTAGCAGTGCAGTTCTACGAGGCTGCAGTCGATTGTAGAGAAGGACCCAGGAAAGGAATCTGACCATCCTAATGGAAGACCTAAACGTCAAAGTTGGAATGGACAACATGGACTAACTGAGAGAAAGGAATGAGAATGGTGACAGATTTGCAAATTTATGCCCCTACAACAAAATGGTTATAAATGACCCCATATTCCCCACAAACGCATACAGAAAGCTATGTGTGTCTGACTGGATCACACCACAGAGAACCAGATCGACCATATACACATCAGTAAAAAAATCACAAGAACAACCAGAAACATGAGAATGGAGAGAGGTGCTTACATAGCTTCAAATCATAACCTGGTAGAGGTCAAGATGAAACTGAAGTTAAAGAAACACTGGACAAACATTATTGCAGAGGCTTAATACAGTCTTACTTCCGGATACTGACAAACTCAACGAATTCAAGATAGATCCCAGCAACAGGTGGAAACGTTTACGTACCTTGTCAGCAACATCGATGAACAAGGAGGATAGTATGCAGACGTAAAGGCGAGGATTAGCAAAGCAAGGAAAGCATCCATACAGTTGGAGAACTCAAAACAACTGTCAACCAACATCAAAGTCACAATCTTCAAAACACACGTCAAGACAGTTCTATTGCACGAGGCTAAAACTGGGAAAACTACCACAACTATAATCAAAAATGTGCAAGTATTCATAAACAATTATCTACGCAGGATACTCAATGTCCGTTTTCTGGATACCATCAGCAACAGCTTACAGTGACAAGGAACAAACTAGCTTTTAGCTGGACAGGAAATTAGGAAAAGGAGTTGGGAGTGGATGGAACACACATCGCGGAAATTAACAAACCTCATCACGAGACAATCCCTAGCGTGGAATCCTAAAGGGAAAAAAGGAGTAAGAGCAAAGAGCATGCTACGAAGGGAATAGGAGGTATACAGCAAAAGGATGAATAGCATTCGGAAACAACTGGAAAGGAGAGCTGAAGACAAAGGTGATTGGAGAATCTTGTTCAGTAGGGTAACAAGAGCAAGTAAGTTATTTTGCTAAATTATTCACCAATTTATTGTCGTTAATATCATTTTCACCATAAGGTGGTCACATTTAAACTGACAATGGCTAGCTTGCTTATAAAGCAGTTTTAGTGTTGTGAATTTGAGCTAGAAAGCATAAGACATGTATTAATGAAGCATTTTGTGGATCCACATGATGTTTCCCGATCTTCTCTAAATGACGTTAGTATTTTAAAAAGTAATTTTATGAATAAATGAAAACAACGAGAAATTAAACTGGGACATTACCCTGCGAATGATGTTAGTTTCACCAAAGATTTTGTTGTGGCCGATTGATCTTGCAGTGAATTGGCAATTAAAGCCTGTGGTACATCATCAAACCATACTTCTCGTGTGTTATTTGAAGAATATAAATTTGAAGTTGAGTTTTCCAAATTATACTGTTGATTTGATTTATCATTTTCTGATTTGTTATCTACAGTGAAGGATTTAGGTTTTTTATTCGGCCTAACAAAATTAAAAAGTCAACAGTATTACGATATGATGACAAACATCTGTAAATGTATGATAAATTGACGTATAATAAGGTTACAATCGTTAATTCGCTGCTCCCTGATTGGCGGTCTTATCACGTCATACATTAACTAGACATCCACTCGGCCACAAGATATAACACACTTATGATAGCGTTGAAGGTCAGATTACTCTATTTATTAATTAGAAAGTAAGCTTATTTCTAAAGAGACATGTTCAGCAAGGATTATGTGATTATAATCCTATATTTTGTGTGACGGTTAGTGTTACTAGCCGTGGTTACTTAAATCGAAATAAATAAAATGGAATTCGGACCACTAGCTCCGTAGTTCTGCTTCTTTAACTGCTAACCAAATAGTCCATCAAACTGTACGAATATGTGGTAGAGGGAGATAGATGGTCTAAGTTTGAATTGATCTTTGCAGTACATATCAGTAAATAACCAATTTCTTTGCTGTCTTTTGATATTTAGTAATCTACTCTTCGAATTTTAAACATGTCTAGGAATTCATATAAAAATTAGTTAGTCAAGAGGAAATAAAACTTAATAGATGTTTTATAATTGTACACATTGTTTATCTGCATATTTTATTATTTGAACTCATAAATATTGGTAAAAAAGGGCACCGAATCCACACGGGCCACACAAGTCACTTGATTTGTATATGGGCTTTGATAATGCCCGGGTGCCTAAACCGAAGCAGGTGGTTTTCTTAAGGGGCCACAAGCCGAGCCTTTGACCTAAAAATCTAGTCCACAAGGCAGTGGAGCATCGTAAGGAGATGCAGTCCTATGGTAGCCGGTGACCGACGATTGATTCATACGCCATTTGTTCTCTCAGGATACTGGAGCCCATGTGCACCATTGGTTTGGAACCAGGGTTTTCTAACTCCCCTAGGTGGACCCTCCATATTCACCAACTCTGAATTTCGTAAGCAACACCCCCGCCGCGAGAAGGCGGTGAGTAGGACTTCCCTTGTAGTGGCTATATACGCGTGTTTATGTGAGAGCATCTCGAGAGAGATCGGACTCTCTCCACCCATAGCCGTACCAGGGCAATTGGGGGCTATTTGTCTGCTTAATTCAGTCTAGACAAACAAAAGTGTCAATTGATGCTACAATTGTCCTTCACTTCATGAGTGGATTAAAATCGTTCTTAGTTAAAAAGTTCCCATAGTTTCTCTACACATCTCTGAATTAATTCAGCTTTGTTTTCTAGGTCGAGAATGAACATTCTCGTAACCAACATGTAGGCAATGTTTATCTTTTAATGCACTAATTTTTTTAATTTACTCAATGATCTATTCTACTGATTATCGAACCAATGTAAGGAAAATTGAACCAGTCTATTTTTATTGGACAAATAATGGCTATTTTAATTGTTTTAATTCAAGTTATCAATCACAATTGATGGTTTTGTTATTTTTATTCAGAGATTTATCACAGCTAAATGATCATTCAGTAAGTCAACTACAACGTAGAACCAGGCACATTTATGCATCGGTCCAAGTTGCCATACCTCGTTAGCACAACAAGATGAACACCGGGTTCATAGAAATAGTTAATTTAGTGGTGGTAATATATAAAAGATAGGTTGTATATAAGGATATAATAAAGGAAGGAAGAACATTATGAAGAAATTTAATCTTAAGGTTTAAGGGAAGATAAAGAGTGTATACACCTACGCCATTGTGATCGATTCTGAGCCATGTCACTCACAGTCTCCAACCATTCGTTACGATAGTCACGCGGACCCCAACCAGGTAGTCTTCATCTGCCAACATGGCTCAGACTAGAAGTTAGTGACTTCAAGCTCTGATGCCATGTTTTGGTTTGGCCGCCCTAACTCTTTTCCAACCATCCCCTACACTAGTCAGTATAGCGCGTCGTGGTAATCGGTGTTGAGACATACGTAACACGTGTACCACCCTCCATTTAGCTGGGTTTTTTTACAGCTAAATGGAGGGTCATACAAAACTAAGGAATCTGACTTTATGCCTTCCAACATATGATAAGAATTTGTACAATTGTGAAACTTGATAAGTAAAATAAACAAATGATAGATAAAATAAACAAACGCCATTAATGGGGTATCTATTTAAACGATGTTGATATAGGATGTATATTATCATTTACATCACTCAACCTAATCGAATGAGATTTCACTGAAGATATTTTCCCGACTGATACATCTCTGTCCAATTTCGAAAATGGTTGTTCACAGGAATTATCGCTTGACCCTGTGAAAGCATTAGGAATTGCTTTTGGTTTATCGGATGTCAACTGGATTGTTTCCGTCCGATTGGTTGTATTGGTCTTTTGCTTTTGAGTACGAGAGACAAATTCCGCTCGTCGTTGTTGTATAGTCCTCTGTTTTATTAAATGTATCCTGAAAGGTAATTCATTCATCAAATGTACGCCTTTTAGAGTAGAATAAGACAATTTATAAATTTAAAAAAGGTACGTTCAAAATCATAACAATAATGAATAATAGATGAGCTAAGATATAAACAGTTCAGTCAGTCAGAACGTAGAACTTCGTACGTACGAGTTGCCAGTTAAATACAAGAAAATACATTGGTTTATTATTAAGATGAATTTACTGAAATACAATGGCTGGAAAAATACCATGATCCCTACTATTAATGAAATGCTAAATGAATGGAATAATCTGTCGGGAATACATTGTTGACGAGGTTAGATAAATATTCAAGTCTAAAGTAGAGTGGGGTCCTTTTTAAAAGTAATAAAATACATCTTGATGACAGATTTTAACAATCACAAGTATACACCTTAAATAAGATTGTCTAACCGTATTCAATCTATTAATTTGAACTAGAAACAGATTAATAGGATTATTGAAGGTAGATCGATAGAATGTTTCTCTTACAATGGATTAATGATTCTTAACTGTTGCCCCATATTGTTGAAAACCTTTTGACAAATGTCCAACCAAAACAATTTATGAATCCCATTATTTCGAAAAATTTCATCTCATACCGCTTTGGTATTGCTATCAACCTGATTATGCCTGTAAACTGACATGCATTCTACATCAATTTCGAGAATAATAGTTTATATATTTACCATTTATTTATTAGGTTTCTAAGAATGTTTTCATACTGTTCGGTTCAGTTACCTTGTGTCTCACTCATATATTTATATAACAATGTGGATTTTGTTCGAAAAGCAATAACGTAACGAGATTAATACACTATTTTCTATGATCCTGGGTTCAACCAAAATATACAAACAATCATAATGATCACTGAACAAACTGACGTAAAGTAAAAGTTTATTTATTTATTTGAACACATAAATATTGGTACAGGGAAGCACCAGATACATATGCGCCACATAAATCTCATTCGATTTGTGTGAGGGCTGTGATACTGCTCAGGTGCCCAGACTGAAGCAGGTGGTTTTCTTAAGGGGCCACATGCCGAGCCTTCGACTCAAAGGTCTGATCCATAAGGCAGTGGAGAATCGTGAGGAGATGCAGTCCTATGGTAGCCGGTGACCAACGATTGATTCATACACCATTTGTTCCCTCAGGATACTGGAGCCCATACGCACCATTGGTTTGTAATCAGGGTCTTCCAACTCCCCTAGGTGGACACTCCACATCCATCAACCAGGTCAAAGCGCCGGACATTCTCTTTTCGTCCTCTCACTTTCGTAAACAACACCCGTTGCACGAGAAGGCAGTGAGTAGGACTTCCCTGGTAGAAGCTATATACGCGTGGCCATGTGAGAGCATTTCGAGAGGGAGAGCAGACTCTCCCCACTCTCGGTCATACCAGGGCATTTGGGGGCAAAGTGGCTACCGCCTCCGGGTGGGCACGAACCACTAACCGAACGGGCTAACCGGTTGCGAAAAATCATTCGCTAAGTGAAAAAAGAAATGAAATCTAATTCCTAAAAGCTTTTTTCAAAATCGCCAGTGAGCTAAAAGTTTATTTGATACTTAAGGAAATAATGTAGATGCAGCGAAATTTTCGACGAACTAAAAAAAGATAAATGACTGCTATTAGAACTAACAAAACAAATAACCTAGTAATTCCAAAACTAAGTTTTTGTCATCTTTCCAATGTAGAACGAATATAGCCCCCAAATGCCTGGTATGACTGAAAGTGGGGAAAGTCCGCGCTCCACTTCGAAATACCCTCACATGGCCACACATATGCAGCCACTATGTTTCCTGCACACGACATCCGAGGAAACAAAAAAATTTGGGTGTGGAATCCAATAAGACGTTACACACAAAGTGTGTCTAATTCTCTGAAATTGATAATTAACGATAATTAAAAAGTGGTTTTCACTAAGAAGCATATGAGACCTGAACTTAACATGACTGAAACAGTTTTTCCATTGACTGCAAGTAATCATTCAAATATGACGATGACCAAACACAGAGATATTAGGGACTTTGCTATATTTAGAATTATTGCACGTCAGTAACAAATCCGAACAGTTGACAGGCTATCAGCTCCATTCACTGAATAATGAAATCAGCCAATCATAAACAACCTGTGACTTGAGAACAAATGCTGCTACAGTTCATTTCGGCACAATATCAGAAAATAAACAAGATGACAAGCAAATGCAGTCAGAATAATAATAATAATAAGGTTAATGATAGTGACAAAATAGACATAAAAGACGGTGTACATGAAATGGCAAATGAAACGCTGAAAACTCGTAGCAAGAAAATGAATTAATATACACTACTGAGGACGATTTTAAGCAGTATCATTTGAGGTCTTCTGATGGTATATTTCGATTACATTTTCAGTGCATAAATTAATACATAAATATAAAACCACTAAATCTATGAAATTGCAAAGTGACTAAATTCGCTTAGACGCAAAATGTTCAGTGATATGATCATGCAGATATTTTCAGAAAGGTATTATATATATATATATATATATATATATATATATATATATATATACGTACACGGTATATATAACGTTGTTTAAACCTTGATTTACCTTGAATCATATTTTGATTTGAATTTTTTCTTTTTTATAAATGAATGGTTTTTCTTTTCTTTGCTATGATTGTGATTACTTTTTGGTTTATTATGCATTAGAAGGTGAAAATTGATAAAAGAACTAAAATGCCATAGAAACCAAAATAGAAGTGGAATGAAGGGGAGATGAATTAAAAAAACGACTATTTTTTTATAAAAACAAACATTTATGCAGGGAATACTTTTTATTTAGTAGAAGTTTATGTACACTTTTTATTATAAAATATAAACGTTATTTACAAGGATTAAAATAATTTAACGAGAGTAATGTAACATGCCTAAAGGATAACCAAGATTAGCAATTAGTCGTATTACTGGACCGCAACCTCCAACAAAAAATGCACAATCTGAATGATACTTTAACTTTAAAGAATCTATCGATTCAGATAGATTAAATGTATCGACGACAAGTATATGACTTAAACGTGAATTAGGTGGATCATGTAAATCTACTGAAGCCAACAAATTGCCAACATGATCCCACATGTATAATAAACTTGAATTACCACCGGATACAATGCGTGAATCATTATCCATATCACAAAAAATAGCTGTTTGTGAATACCAAGTATCTGATAAGTCTGAAAGAGAAAGAAAACTAGAGAGTGAAAAAAATCACACTATTAAAGTTAGGAATCTAAAAGAACCAACTAATCATAGTCTACCTTCCATGACAAACAGTATAAAACGGGAATCGTCAAGCAAACCATCTGAAAGACAGTTTTCATCAACCAAAGAACAACTATGAAGATGATCGTCAAAGAACAAAACTTTTACTCTTTTTCACGATCTACATAAAAGACTATTGAGAATACTTAATTACAAAACAAAATCATCTTACGCCTTCTTATTCATTTATTCCTTATAATCCATATTCTATGTTTACTTTTATTTTCAACACACAACAGCCCGCCTAAGGTGAAAATTCTGTCCTATCTAAATGATCTGAAGTAACTGAATGGTCAAAAGTGGGAATAAAGTAATTTTAATCTCATGGTTTAAGGGAAGACAAATAGTATATACATCTACGCCATTATGGTCGATTCTGAGCCATGTCACACAGAGTTTGCAACAATTGATTACGATGGTCACACGGACCCCAGCCACGTAGTCTGCATCTACCAACATGGCTCAGACTAGAAGTTAATGAATTTATGGATTGATGCAACGTTTTGGTTTAACCGCCCCTAACTCTTTTTCAACCATCCCCAACACCAGTCAGCATTGCGCGTTGTGGTAATCGGTGTTCAGGCATATGTAACATGTGGCCCAAGCATCTCAGATGATGAAGATTTACAATCCTATCAACTGATTTACCAGCGTGCCTTAATACCCTGAGTCTAACCTCTGTTGGGGATGTCAAATCCCCAGAACTTACTTGGTAAATGGCTTAATCTTGTAGTTTTATTTTGAAAATTTGAATTTAGCTGTTTTCGCGCCAAAAGCGCTCTTTTTACCTTCACGTCATATTTCCCACCTGTGAACTATCTTAACCGCTATTGGTCCTTTGTTTCTTTATGTGTGCTATTTACTAATGGTGCTCAAGGACAATTTGTTACTGTATAAATGCGCTTGACTTTTTCCCTTATTTGATTGCTTGTACTCGGCTGCTTACGGAATACATATATATTCCCCTACTTGCCTTGGACTTCTTCATCTAGTTAGCGGGGCCTGGGACAACAGATTAGAATAGCTTATCGTGTCATTGTGTCATTGGCTTTCGTTCGTTACCGCGGAATCGATTTAGTTTCAGGTATAACAACCTCACTATTACTTACCCGGTGATCCCAGAAGATACAAGCAATATTTCTAAGACATCTGTGATCAAATACTAGTAACTTGCGAGTATCTTCTACTCTTAATGGTCACGTTTCGCAGCTATAAACTAGAACAGAACGAACTGCTGCCCAGTATAATCGTCCATTAATTGATAGACGGATATTTCGCCTTTGCAACGACACTTTAACGAATGTAACTCACGCATTCGGCTTTGAGGCATACTGTTCGTGCAAAGGGTGGTGACATTAACCAGGTGCCTGAATCGAAGTAAGTGGAGCTCTGTCCGGCTATGTGGCCTAATGGTTAATAGCAGTGTTGTAAACAATAAGCCACCACTCCATATTGACGAGTGAGACAATGTTCATGATGTAGGTTCTGAACAAGTTCGTCATACTACTAGTTTGAATAAATCAGGATTTGATCTACTGAAAACAAAGTGGACCGTCAGTTAAACAATCTTATATTATTTTGTACTCACTCCAAAGATCATATCACCCTTACTATGTTTGAAATACTTGTTATTTTGTCACCGCGTAACAGGATTTTCTTGTCAGTATATCAATTCTAAAGAACTTGGATGATAGATCAGTACAAAAGGCTGCGATGAGACTGAATAAAATGGCAACAAACAGTCATTTTAAAGCAATTTTAACTTTGTCGTATATTTCCATGACAACTTCATGCAGACCGTTACGAGTGTGGATAGAAGGCAATTATTTGTGTTATTAATATGTTCCAAACAACATGAATCTCTAAAGTTCAAGAATAACATTTTTGTTCAGTAGAGATTAAGAACTTTATATTTTCCTACAAACTAGAGTGAGCTATTATAACTAAGGCGATATTAACACAAACACCCCATTTTAATCGACACAGAATAATGACTGAAACCATAAAGTGAGTAGTCAATCAACAAGATAACATATTTAAAGCTCTGTAAACCTTGGTTAGGAACGCAACAAAAAACACACCTATGAAGATATTGTGACATTTAGGGAAATTTACCTTCAGGGTGCAATATAGAAACATTCCTCCCGGCACGCCTACTCCATAAAGAAAGTCTAGGCCCCCCTCCCGTAACAAACCAATCCTCTTCGAACTGTTTGCAGGATAAAGTAGTTAACCAAGACCCAAGCTTGGGTCGAGATAATTCACTATTTAGATACGGTTTGAACACAGATGAAGCCTTATAGTCCCCATTCCGTATAACTCTGTGATCCCAAAAGCAGACAGTACCGTCCTCAGAACTAGTACCAAACTAACAAAATGAAACATTAGATTGAAAGCGAACCTCGTGTGCTCCAACACTGCAAATTTTATAAATTGTGGACCTATGTCCAGCAAGTTTGAGCTTTTCTTTGAAACCACAACCAATAAAAAAAGTATGGATAGTTCCATCACCCAATGCTGCCAAAAGAGTGTCACTTTCTGTATGATAACACAACCCGGTAACCTAAACACAATTTAGTGAAAGGTAACTAGTGTATCAATTCCTCTACTTTACCTCAGAAACGGTTGCGTAAAGATTTCCCGACGTCAGATGAACTGTATCGTGATATTTCAGAAAGCCGTCGGTAGGTGTAGTCCATTTGTATACAACAATCAGACCAACTGACCCACAGAAAACATAATCCTTCCCGAAACATAAAGCGTAAATATTTCCTGCATATTTTACGTTGATAATGCATTCTGGCTTCCCTTCAATTTGTGAATCTATAACGACGACATTGTAAGATCAATGCTCACATACCACAGGACAGCGAACATAACGAATAAATTAGTATTTTCTGTATATTAGTTCCAAAAAGTAGATATTTTCTACATGGAGATGTAACGGATGATAGTATGAATGTATGAGCTATTATTCTATTATTGTTCATGTCTGTAAGGAAAAAAAATGTAGAAAATAATATGAACTATATCATCTCTACAAACAATTCCCATAACCTGTTTTATTACTTCGTTTAAAGTGACACTCATTCGTTTATATTACCTTGAGAACCCTATTTAAGTCTTCTTACATGAGTGGAGACGAGCCAGTGATTTGTTTGTTCAACAGGAAAGACTGGATACGACAAGCTTCATTTGTTGGCACATGTGATCAATTAAATGCTGATAAAACAGCACTCACATCAGTTTAACATTTTAAAGCATAAAATGAGATTTGCGACTAGGAACGAAGTTTAGAGATTCTTAGTATCGATAGTAATTTATTAGTTTTTTTAGTGGAAAGTTTGTCCTATACTTTAGTGATGAACTAATAACATTTAGTGACAGATAGTGACTTGTAGATATTTCCATCTACCCGTTCAGCTACAAAGAATGAACACTTTGTAACCTCATAAGCCCAAGCTTCGTATTGTAGATGATGCTAGTTTGTGATGAGAGCTCTAACTCTTCTCTCTTACTGTACGAAGCAATTAACGTGAAACTTAATTATTTATGTTAAGACACATTACCTTTTGTAATTTTATCATCCTTTATTACGATCCCTTTTTATCATTAAATACTACCTTCTGATTCGCATAGTCCCCCAATGTCCTCTATATACTTCAATTTTACCATAAAAACTACATAAATAGACTTTCCCAATGTTAAAGTGATTTGGAATTAGGTTACATTTTTCTTCACTAATCAGTATGAAACTATTCCTGAGCTTCACTTCTCATGTGGGTTTTATGATATACGATAAAAGCATATTTTCACACTGTTATATCAATAGAAATACCAATAAAATTAGTCGTATCAATATACAAGTAATATTGCAAATTAACTGTTCATTTATGGTAAGAGCAGGTTAGGGGACAGATGGACGTTAATATCAGTGCCTCACCATAGATGGTGTAGATGGGAGCCGGTTCAAATGGCGACCAGTATGACCTGTATATACGCACGTTACATTATGATGCCCAAATCGAATTCTAACTAGTTTTAGGTTATTATCTGGTTGTACCACAGTTTAATAAGACAGGATACAACCACGTCGATGTTATAAGTGTAACCCTGGAAACACTTCCAACCAGTTACAGCCTAAATAAAGGATATCAATAAATAACTACTTCAGCTAAAATGAAGCAGCAACGAACAGACACGGACTCACATAACAGTGACGGTGTTGCTCAAGATTTGCGCGAAAGCCTTCAATCATCAACCTTGCCTAGGTAGAACGAGTAATAGTGGTGTCGTTGTTGCCTCTTTTAAACGTGATTCTGTGTTATGAGATATAACGCTTTAGGTTCAGAAAGTTATACGGTCTGTCTAATCTTTCACAAATGTGTAAGGATAAAATAATGTGTCAAGTGATTTAAATGGCTGTGGATGCAGAAGAAGCTTTCTCCAAACCGGCTTCTGAGTCAAGTAGTGACAGTGCATCGACGTCAGACCAGCGGTTTCCTCTTAAAACTGAAACTTGGTATTTCTAACTGTTTTCGCTGATCGCCTTCGAACGTTCCTGGGTATTCTTATTCGTTTAGAGTGGGGCTTTTTCTTTATTATAAAGTCAGTTGAGTAAACGAATTTCGGCTAAAATGCCAGTATTCATGAAAAAGCTCGTCCTGTCTAGAAAGCGTATGTAAGTGCAAAGTTTTCGTCGAATTTACTTTCATATTTGACTTTCTATTTTCCGTTATTGTTAACCTTGGTAGTAAGGCGAAAGTGTATGAAGTTTAATGAGTTCTAAGATTCATCATTTTTCACTGTCATTGTAGAATGAAGCTTGCATCAAGCTTTCTTACTATCGTCTGCCGTTTCACAAGTGGTATTATACTATAAATGGGATCGCCGATATAGTAACAGTATTTTAATCATTATCATTATTGACTACTACACGCCAATAAAATTCTGCATTTCCTGGTGATGTGACAGTGCGAAAGGCTTTCAATTGGCAGCAGCATATCTGGACGCAAGTAATTAGGACGGAATTCTTTAGGCAGCAGTCTAGCAACTTTTTTGCCTCAGTTATATACCATTATGGGTTACGGTTTATTATATTCACCGACAGGTTCAGGTTGTTATTCATCACGCTTTATTAAAGCATATTATTGCTCTATTTATATCCTGTCAAACGGATCTGGCAATTCTTTCTGTCTCATTTTATGGTTAAAGTACATTTTCCGCTAACTAACTTATAGGATGGCTGGTAAACTGCTTCTCGGGAAGATCGTATTTTTTTTCAAGCAGCAGGCTTATTACAGTTGATATTAAGAGAACCAGCCTTCGGCAAAGTGGAGGTCTAATTAAGCTTAATTTTTGACCAGTAAACACAGATATGTCAGTAGACTGACTAAGGACTTTTGTCCTCAAGTGTATCCCGCTATTTATCCGTGTTGGCCGAGGTGCGTTTGCCGAGCAAAGTTGTTTTCGATTGATTCGCAAACCATGATCATCGACTCACAGAAAATTCGTTCGTCCTCTAGACTATATAGAAGTACACTCGGTTACTTTTCCAGACATATCGAATCTCTGAGGCCATTGGAAACTTTGTCTAGGTAGAAAAAAACGATGAAAGTCCTCAATTCCCTTGGCATAAAGAAAGTTGAAACCTCAGTTCCAGAAGCGCCTGTGACAGGATGAAAAACAGCATTTGCTGGTTTCTGAAACTACAGAAAAGTGTGTGGTATCCGTATCAGGCAGGAACATCATGTGTATGTGTGATTAGTTAAACCTTGCTTGGAAGTTACATCAGTCTCTATACCGACTTGTCATTTCATGACACTCAATGGTTGCTGTTAAGGACGTCTAGAGAAAAAAACAGTATATTTAATATGAAAAGAGGGAGGTTTCATAAGGCGGCCAGGATTCAAAGCTTTAGCCATGCTACTTTCGATTCTGTTTTCCTACGTTCACTGTCTGTGACCTCTAGGTATTGAATGTCAAATGTAAATCTTCCCAGTTGCATTGTATGTTCAGCATCAAAGATAGTGTGGTCAGGATCCAATGCCACTGAATATCTCTCGTGAATTTGTTATATCACTTTCCTTGGGCTTCTTTCTTATAGCGTTTGGTTTTGGGGGTTAAATTGTTTCATTTTCGGTCCCAGCAACACCTGCCGAGTTGGCCTCTATAACTCACTTACTTACTTACGCCTGTTACTCCCAATGGAGCATAGGCCACCGACCAGCATTCTCCAACCCACTATGTCCTGGGCCTTCCTTTCTTTTTCTATCCAGTAGTTGTTCATTCTTCTCATATCTGTCTCTATTTCTCGGCGTAATGTGTTCTTTGGTCTTCATTTTCTCCTTTGACCTTCAAGATTCCATGTGAGAGCTTGTCTTGTAACGCAATTAGGTGATTTCCTCAAGGTGTGCCCAATCCACTTCCAGCGCTTCTTCCTGATTTCTTCCTCTGCTGGAATCTGGTTTGTTGTCTCCCACAGTAACTTGTTGCTGATAGTGTCTGGCCATCGGATCCGAAGTATCTCGCGTAGACAGCTGTTGGTGAACACTTGTATCTTCTGGATAATGGCTTTCGTAGTTCTCCACGTCTCCGCCCCATACAGTAGAACTGTCTTGACATTTGTATTGAAAATTCTAACCTTGGTGTTGGTTGGCAATTGTTTTGAGTTGCAGGTGTTCTTCAATTGTAGATATGCTGCTCTTGCTTTTCCGATCCTTGCCCTCACATCTGCATCTGATCCACCGTGTTCATCAATGATGCTGCCCAGATATGTAAAGGTTTTTACATCATCCAAAGCTTACCCGTCAAGTGAAATTCGATTGGTGCATGTTGCTAGATCCAAACCTAAATTCCAATAGGTTTGGTTGATGAATAACTGTACGTGGATATAGATACACCTGCACCGCAATCGAAATCAGAACAAAGTGATTGGGTAACAACAGTCCTAAAGTTCATCATATATACAAATGTACAAATTTACCTAAACAAATATTACCACACAGTTATTCAACCAACAATTGTTCCTAAAATAATCAATCTGAATTACAGTAAATAGCAAAGTGATAAATAATATAGGAAAATTACCGAACGCTCCAAAAAATAAATGTTATCCTATCCTTCCTGTCTAGATCAAGTAAAGAATGCGTTCCAAATGTTGCTTTATAACACAGAGTGTTTCCAGTTCTGGGTAAGTGTTCCAATTAACAACCAAAATGCACGATCCCAGTCCAATCAAGCAACACGGTCAAAGATGGAACGATCAATATGGCAGCCGCCAGAACAATATCAATTAAAACAAATTGCATACAGTTCAAGAAGAAACATAGAAACTCAATGAAAGCGATAGAAAAACGGAGAAAACTATTATTAAAATTAAACATCACATTCTCAATTGGCATCAAAAAGATTAACAATATGTACAAATAAAGAAACTGTTAAGAAGTTGCAAAGGTATACATGGAGGCATTTTCACCTTCAGAATGGATCTTACACACGTTGTATTGTATCGGAGAGTCTTGCTTTTCCCTTTATCTATATTGAGACCTACTGCTGCTGAGGCTGCTGCTACACTGGTCGTTTTCTCCTGTATTTGTTGTTGCGTTTGTGATATAAGAGCCAGGTCATCTAAGTCTAAATCGTCAAGCTGCATCCTACCTGTCCACTGAATCCCGTGCTTTCCTCTAGATGTTGACGTCTTCATGATCCAGTCGATCACCAGGAGAAAGAGGAAGGGTGAGAGTAAGCAACTTCGCCTAACACCGGTCTTTACCTCGAATGAATCGGTGAGTTGTCCTCCATGAACGATTTTACATTTTAATCCATCATAGGAATTCCATATGGTATTGACTATCTTCTCAGGCACGCCGTAGTGTTGTAGGAGCCTCCATATTGTTGTCCTGTCCACACTATCAGATGCTGTTTCGTAGTTAACAAAGTTGATGTAGAGTGATGAATTCCATTCGATTGATTGTTCCACAATGATCCGTAGAGTTGCGATTTGGTCTGCACACGATCGATCCTTACGAAATCCAGCCTGTTGATCTCGAAGTTTGGCCTCCATAACTAGTGAATTGAATTCGAACGGAGTCACTTCGATAATAATTTCTACCATAATCATATGCTGGTTAATCTGGTCGTTTTGATGGAAGATGCAGTACTTATCGAGCCAGGATTCGGGGATTGTTGGTTATTATTTTTAGCAAGCTCAGACTTACTGAAGTAACTTAGATTAGCTACAAAATGTAAATTGCGTGATTCTACGGGTACTTATGGTAACAGCCACACGCATTAATAAGTTGAGTCTTTATTTAATTTACTGTTTCAACTAGTTAGCATATTTCCTGTCTCTCATTATCTCAAGTCAGAAACTTGGTGAACTGTTAGAAGGCTCTGAACTCATATTACAACATTTTATTGATGCGAATTTCCATTCTTCACACTGACATAGAAAAAAGTCATAAAAGAAACGGACTAACTAAGCAAGTAACCCTACTGCCAGCCTAAAGTCCAAGAAAAGGGGGAGGGTTATGCACGAATTCAGCAACCAAATCCCTCAGAAAGAAACCTCGCTTAAAAAACATTATCAAGAGAACACAATCTAAACTTTTTGAACTTTAACAAAGAAGTTGAGAGGTTTCCATCTAGAAAAATTATAACTCCTCGTAGATTTATGGTATAATTTGGTATGGGTAATATGACTGGTCGTCAGTTGTTATGACTTCATTGCCAATTGTTATATTTGATGGTCCCTAATTGTTGTGTCAAAGTCGCCAACTGCTTTAATTTGTAAAACGAGGAGCCACTGTAATCCCCACGACAAGAATTAGTGTTTTTGTTTCGCTAGTTTATATTTCCTTGAGTCGTATTTTCAATCCCTGCTGTTTACATCCCTAACATTCTAAGATTTGGACTGACAATTTCACCCCTTTGTGCTATTTCGACACGGCAAAGTGAACCAATGTACAAACATCCTATGTTCTAAGTTGTGACTGGCTTAATGATGGATGCATCTCATTGTTTTAGAGCATGTAGCAGTCGGCCACCCATATATATCGTACTTCTTCATTTCCCAATAAGTCATTTATGTCGTACAATTCCGTTTCTAATTTACGAACATTAACGAAGTGGGATTCCCTGGTCACCGCGGCACTGTAATCCGGGATATGTAATAATAATAATTTATTCCCAAATAACAGTCCGTTATATGAGGCATGCCAGTTTAAGGCAAGATCAAATTGTTGCAGAATATATAGTCTTCACCGTAGTGGGTTATCCATTTAGGTTGATATTTTATAAGGTGCATTGATCATAGGATTATTGGGAATAATACTTATCACTTATGAATGTATATAATATTAGTATGACCCGTATTGCCATTATGAGAGCTGGCGCGCTTTATGGAGGTGGAATTGCGACATGCAACCGATGATCAAGAGTAAATCTACGTACATTTGGGAGCTTCTAGAAACCGTGATCTTATATCCCTCTGGAACATCTGAGGCACTATTGATGGTGCAGGACAAAGTCATTTGTTCCATATGTGCTTTCGGTGACCAATCTCGAGGAGGCTGAAAAGAAGGGTAAGAAAAAGAAGGGTGAGAAGCATAGGAGACAATGTTCATGCCTGTTGAATTTGGGTCATTTGTGGAGGAATGGTCAATGTATGACTACCTAGTCTGTCGTTTATTAAGGGACTTTTTAAGCAAAAGCATTTTAATAGGTAAATGCTGTGGGTGATTAGATAAGGAACTGTAAAACTGAAGGTCGTTCAAAAAGAATCCGAAAGTATGGGATTATATGTAGTTTTGAAATATATTACTGACAACACTATTTTGATACACAAATGGCTATCTGCGTTTTCTGTTGAAGCCATTTCAACTCATTTTTTATTGATTTTGTAGGGTCATGGGCAGGCTTCTTTTTTTTAGCAAATTGTTTAGTTTTGCTCGTGATAGGATTGCTTGGCAGTAAGTGAAACCAATTCAACGTCACAAACACGATTTAAAGAGATCTTCTACATAATAATAACTTATCATCAACGCCATTAGTTTGTGACATCCCAGTTGACCATAAAAAGCCGTAATTTAACAATACGTTTTTCCCTACAGAGATGGCTGGATTGAGACTACCCTTCACCATCATGTTTGAACGTCAGTATCACTACCAGCCTTCCTATTGTGATACTTGGCTCTCTTTCGTTTGTAGCATGTATAAATATTGATTTAATCTCAGCTCCTTGTTGGAATACACTGTTTCTACTAGTTTTATGTTACATGCAGATCAGATGGTTAAAGCTTCGGTATTGTGGGTTAAATAGCAATTTAGTAAATCACACCTCTATGAAAATAGCTAATGGTATAAGTTATAAAACACATCAGATTATATGTGGTTTAGAGATGGTGAGGATAGGTAGCAAGTCAGATAATATACAAGAGTTTAGAATTGTAAAATTGTCATGGTAGGAAAACAAAACATTGAGCGACCCACAAGAGTTTAGGGCATTATGAGCTTCTTATGATCGGCCATAGTTGGTCAGCATCCATGAGATTAGTGAGTTATCTATCTGAGTGTAGTGGAAAAACAGGACATGGAACTAGGGAAGAAAAATGAAATTTTAACCACTAAGGAGATTCTGGATGTGAAAGTGCGGAGTAGGAGAATCAAGGCATAACTAATAGTCAGTGAATAGTCGGAGAGAGTAATCCATGTGTTCTATCATCCGGTTATACTCATACTAATGGCAATGGGGGTCCTTTATATCCATGGTCGGTCTAAATACTAGACGGCCCACAATAAAATTCGCCGTTGGTGGGCGGGCGTCCAGGGAATAGTTGATGAAGCTCTTTAGTGTCAAGTGAAAGGGTTATCAGTTTTTTGAGCTTAGTGATAGTGTCACAGTTACGTAAAGTTATTGGCAGCCTGTTCATAATAATGTAAACCACACTGTAAAAAGTTTACAACTCATCGCTTTTCGTTGTTTTACAGTCAGCAGCGTATATGTGTTGTTTCTGAGTCTGCAGACTGGGTCATGGAGCATGGTTGAGGAGGTGGTTAGAAATGAGGGTCCGTATATTGCTTTGTAGAAAATTATTAGATTGCTGCTTAGACGACATCTACTTAAGCCTAGTCACAACACTAACCTAAGGAGTAACACCCTGAAACTGGAGACCCAACATAACAGAACAGACTATAGACACAACTTCCACTCCTTAAGAGTTGTCAAATGCTGGAATTCTCTGTCGGCTAACCTGGTACAAGCGACTTCCTAGGAGTCCTTTAAGAGGAAACTTGATCTATTCTTAAGGTCTAAGGATAACATATTATTATGATTTACCAATTTTTTCTCTATTATCGTTAGTATACCTAGGTTCTTGCCTGAAAGCATTGGTATTCCATTGCTACTAACACAGAACCTCGTTAAGCGAGAGCTTCTTTTATTACGTCTACAACCATTTGAACTATTTGTTGTACTGTGCTAATTTATCATGTTCAACAGACACACTATTTTTTAAAAGTTAGTGTAGGTTTTCGCATAGAGAGTAAATATCGGCTGTGGTACGTTTTAAGATGCCCATACCGTATGCCATAGGAAATTTATCTTTGCTCTCTCTAGTCGTAAGCGTTTGAGAAAACTGTCGATTTTTAACAAGGTAATATACTTAACGGCAAAACAACTGATACGACAGCTTGCATCAGTCTAAAATGAATCGTATATCCTTGCAATTACTATTGAACTGCTTGATACGCAAAAAACACTCCGAAATCAAATGGTCTGGTTTTGGTCCTTGAGACTTTTGAAGTTTTCCTTTCAGATGATCAGTGTTATACGGATAAGCTATTTAGGCATATTGGTATTAAAATCATAATTTTATTTTGCTACCAGGTAATAATTACTCACTCAAGCCTGTGGTAAGATAGTTGGGCTGCATTTTGACTTGTTGATTTCTCCCTATAAATCTATTCAGAATGTGTTTTCATCATATCAGTCCCTGTCATTTGAAACAAGGCCACACTTCTTGAATTGTGTATGCTTTATATGACTTGATTTTTACCGGTTATGACATTGAGGATATAATCTCATCCGTCCTGAAATTTCTTCAAAATTCGGGAACCTAAGACAGTTTTTGATTTATGGTAACCTACTGTTCTGAAGTCCATACATAGTAATCCTAAATCCTTACAGCTAATAACCATTATTAAAGTCATAACGTTTATTGTGTGGTGATGTTGGTAGACACAATAACCGGTTCGGATGGTAGCGAGTTTTCCATAACTTACTTTGACGACCACTGATTTACTCATTTAACCGGGTGATTTATACCTTTATATCATCCTACCTCGGCTCAGTGGTCTATCGGTTAAGGGCTCTGGCTCGAGACTGGTAGGTCCTGGGTTCGGATCTCGTGAGTGCGGGATCGTGGATGCGCACTGCTTAGGAGTCCCATAATAGGACGAAACGGCCATCCATCCATCATCCTACCTCATCATCAATGTGTATGTGTCCCCATGCTTTGATGTTGCCAGCAAACAACATTTCATAAAACTTGAGATTTTTTAAGGAAAAATTTGTGGACTAATATAGTCTAGCACTATTTTAAGGACTAAGATTAAAATTAATATGGTGATAGAGACTGGTGGATGAAGTCCTATCTACCTTGATGCACTGTTGAGTTTTAAAATGCGCCATCAAATGCGAAGTGTTCCAGTGGTTATTACTAGTGAGAAAAATGTTTTAGGTGTTCCTTCTCATCACTAATGACTGTTTAGCTGCTTTGTAGAGTCTGACTGAAATTACAAAAACGTTGTGCAGTTTTTATTCATGAACCAACTAATAAACTGCGTGGCATGATACAGATTAATAAAGCCACTTTTAGGTTATGTAAGCATTGGTTGTTTAGGCACTGTCTAGTGCTAAAATTCGATCATAAGGGAAGAGATGCACCGTGTTTTTCCGTTTTTTTATGAGCGGCTTTTCTTGTTGCTTCTTATGGGTATTTTGCACTTGTTTGTTTTCTGTCTGTTATTTCAAAATGCAAGATTTTATAGCAATATGATGGCGAAAGTATTAAATTGGTTCCGCGTTATTATAAGAGTAGTTGATTTCTCGAGCAGCTTGCAAAACAGAAAATAAATTCACTTGGTATTGTTTGCTTGTGTCTTCCTATTGTTGTTAAGGTCTGCAATTGATCAGTCTCTTATTGCCATATGTGCATACCGTGCATATTTCCTCGATATAGCTTAGCGCGTTTCATTCTATTCGGGACTGTTCAGCTGGATGTACCTGAACCCCAGAGTTGATTTTCAATCCTGGACTCGCTTCAAACGCCTCCGGGTTATCCACTTAAGACTAAATGCGTGTCCTGGATTCCACTGCTAGCCACCATCCATCTTTGCTTATAAAGCTCGTGACTGAAAACACTATCGAGGCAATCCTCACAGGATGCACATACGCCAGTAAGAGAATGATCAATTGCAGTCCTTAACAACAATAGGAAGATACAAGTAAACAACACCAAGTGAATTTTAAAACTTCACTTGCACAAGCATGTGGCTATCAGGACTCAGTAGCTAAGTGGGTAATGCAATGGCGTTTAAGGCGAAATGTCCTGAGTTTGAGTCCCAGAGGGAATACCAATTCTGGGATTCAGGTACGTCTAGCTGACGTGTCTCAAATGGAATGAAACGCGCGTCCTGTATTCAACTAATGGCCACCATCTATCTTTGCTTATAAAGAAAATAACGTCTCCAAAATATTACGCTTAAGGCATCGTTTTTTCTGTCTATTGAAATGATGTCACTACCCTTGAAATTAAATTGAATCAAGAATGACTTATTAAGATACACAATTTTCTGTGTTTTGTTGTGCGTTTCATTACCACATTTATTCAGGAAATATTTGTGTAGTTTTGAAGTGTTTTCTGATAAACTGTGACATATAATTTTGCCCTAAAGGGACTATTTTAACCAGTGCTTTTAATCTGAAATTGGCAAAATCATTTTTTATTCACAAAATATTTCCATAAACTATTACGTTTTGTATTTGTCTTAATTGACTGTAACTCGTGCCAAGGATGTGTTTTTGTCCTCGGTTTTGGGCTTTTAGTTTAAGTCACTACACATGATAAAAGTATTATCAGTATGACTTTGCTACGATTTATCTTGCGATTGTACATTACATGATTGATGACACACATTTTTCTCGTGTCATAGATTAATCAATGTCAGTTGCTTGTTCCACTAACATTATACTTGGAAGCCTCATTTTTGATGTACTTTTGTTGCAATCAGGAGGTTTTTTGAGAGAGTTCTTTGTCAAGATTATAATTTATGGACAAACCAGTCAGGTTTTCGATAACAGATCTTGGATTTTGGGGTAAAAATAATTCACTCATTTGGCTAAATAGCGTTTTAGCATTTTAGCTGAAGTCACTTCGTGATGAAAGTCATAAAATTAATTCCTAACCCCAACCATCGACTGTAAATCATAATCTTAATTTCTTTTACTGCCTTACGACTCATTTAACCCCACTAAGTAGGTGGGAATTCCAAAGGCCATCATAGAGTCGCTCAAAGGCGTAAAAAAGTAATCATTAGTATTTTTTTGATTGCAGAGTTTTCATTAGGGTCTAATCGTATCTCATATTTTATCAAGGTGAAGAAGAACTAATTTCATGTGTTTTTGAACCATATTAGCAGTTTTAAACTTTAAAAACTACTAAATTAGAAGGGTTATTAGTTTATTGAATTCCAGACAAATACTTGCCACCAGACTAATCAATATGAAGTCAGGTGAAATAATTTACTTTAAAAATCCAAACAGATTCATCCTTTCTTACTTTAACGAATCCGCCAATATAACGCCTTGTTTGATGAAAAGCTGCTTTCAAATATGAATTTTGGATCTTACACCTTCCCAGTAATAGATATTTGTTAACAAGTACAGTTTCATTTTACCTTCAATTTTTCCTTATCTCTTGGCTGTTTTGCAGCAACAAAAAATGTCGAAATCCATACCGAATTTGCAAGATTCTCTTGTAAATGATAAAAAAAATACAAATGATATTGTTGGTGTAAAAATGGAGAAGACTATTGGTTTTGTCAGCAGCATCACAATTATTATCGGCTCAATTATTGGTTCAGGTATATTTGTTAGTCCAACTGGTATATTGGAAAATATGCAGAGTTTTGGTGCTAGCTTGATTATTTGGATTGGATGTGGAATTTTTTCTTTATTGGGAGCCTATTGCTATGCTGAACTAGGCACAATGATTCAACGCTCAGGTGGAGATTATGCTTATATGCTTGAAGCATTTGGTTCATTTATGGGATTTTTACGTCTGTGGATTGAAGTGATGGTAGCTAGACCAGCTACTATGGCTGTCATTGCTATGACATTTGCTAAATACATTTTACAGCCTATATTCCCTGATTGTCCACAGTCTAATGCAGTTGTACGATGTCTAGCAGCTGTATGTATCAGTAAGCAAATTCAATTGACTAGAACATTTTTGCTTATTAAACAATAAATATCCATGACCTAACTCTTTGGCTTATTAATTCACGTTGCGGGTATGATTTTATCTAACCTTTAGAGTTCGTAATTGAAAATTTTATGGCCCTGTATCTGACTCCATTTAGATCGTATGCTGATTGTTATTGAAATATACATGCCGCCAACTCTCGTATATTATCTATCGACTTAAGTCACGTTGGGGAATAACGAGATTAAATAAGTCAAATACAAGAATGGATCCTCAAATACAACACAGAGAACACCAATCCATTCACACTTGATGGAAAAGCTCTCGAACAGGTGGAAACTTTCGCGTATCTGGACAGCATCATTCATGAACAAGGAGGATCCTATACAGACGTAAAAACGAGGATTAGCAAAGCGAAGGCAACATTCATACAGTTGAAGAAAATATGGAACTCAAAACAAATGTCAACCAATATCAAAGTCACAATCTTCAATATACACGTGAAGGCAGTTCTACTGAACGGAGCTGAAACTTGTAGAACTACCACAACCATCATCAAAAACGTACAGGTATTCATATATAGTTGTCTACGGAATGGTCACCATCTGTTTGCCGGATATCATCAGCCATAATCTATTGTGGAAGTGGATAGGACATACATTGAGGAAATCATCAAAATGTATCATTAGACAAGCGCTAACTTTGAATCGTGAAGGAAAACGGAAAATAGGAATGCTAAAGAACACGCTGAGCTGAGAATTGGAAGCGGACATGAAATGATGAATAGCAACAGGGAACAAGCGGAATGAATTGACCAGAACAAAGTTGGATGTAGAATGCTGTTGATTGGCCTTTACACCTCTGCGAGGGATGACCAGCGTAAGTCAGTAAGTATATCTCATACACTCTTTGATCTAAACAGATAATCAGAGAAACACAGCGAAGGGAGCAGAGCGAAGTGAAGTGACGCTCAGTGGAGAAGGCAAGTTAACCAACTCGTTTTTATCAAGCGTGATTCATTATTTATGGCCAAACAAAAATAAGTTACGGACACGTAATTAATAAGGCAAGCAGTTGACATACATACGATCACATAAAAACAGTCAGGGTTAATAAGCAAGTATTTGACAAGGTCGAAATGTGGCTTAAGAATAATGAATAAATTTGTCTGTCCAAAAACTAGAATAACCTATGTGGGCTCGACACAGTACCAGCCACTACAAAGTCAAGAGAGATAATTTGTTTAATTATAAATCCATTGGTCTCAGTTACAGTGATTAATTTTATCATTTTTTTATGTTGTGATACTTTTATGGCACTGTATTTACTTTGGAAGCGAAAGCTTCTCATAGTTCAGTTTATTTTGGTTTTATTAGGAATTATTTTCATCCAACTTAAATGGTTTCATTGTTGAAATCATGAGTCAATTGAAGCTAGACCACCATGGAAAACCTGGAAACACTGGACGGCCGTCTCGTCCTATTATGGGACTCCTCAGCAGTACGCATCCACGATCCCGCCGTCTATACCGTCTATTAATACTAGCTAATGATAGTAATTATCGAGATATAGTAGTAAAAGACCCAAGCTACAGTTTGTATACTACAATTTATACCATATTTTATATAACAATCTGTGCTTTATAAAAGGAAGAATCCTATCATGATAATAACTGTAAATAGAAACCATAAAAACCATCCCCAACACCAGTCAGCATTGCGCGTTGTGGTAATCGGTGTTCAGCCATATGTAACATGTGGCCCAAGCATCTCAGATGATGAAGATTTACAATCCTATCAACTGATTTACCAGCGTGCCTTAATACCCTGAGTCTAACCTCTGTTGGGGATGTCAAATCCCCAGAACTTACTTGGTAAATGGCTTAATCTTGTAGTTTTATTTTGAAAATTTGAATTTAGCTGTTTTCGCGCCAAAAGCGCTCTTTTTACCTTCACGTCATATTTCCCACCTGTGAACTATCTTAACCGCTATTGGTCCTTTGTTTCTTTATGTGTGCTATTTACTAATGGTGCTCAAGGACAATTTGTTACTGTATAAATGCGCTTGACTTTTTCCCTTATTTGATTGCTTGTACTCGGCTGCTTACGGAATACATATATATTCCCCTACTTGCCTTGGACTTCTTCATCTAGTTAGCGGGGCCTGGGACAACAGATTAGAATAGCTTATCGTGTCATTGTGTCATTGGCTTTCGTTCGTTACCGCGGAATCGATTTAGTTTCAGGTATAACAACCTCACTATTACTTACCCGGTGATCCCAGAAGATACAAGCAATATTTCTAAGACATCTGTGATCAAATACTAGTAACTTGCGAGTATCTTCTACTCTTAATGGTCACGTTTCGCAGCTATAAACTAGAACAGAACGAACTGCTGCCCAGTATAATCGTCCATTAATTGATAGACGGATATTTCGCCTTTGCAACGACACTTTAACGAATGTAACTCACGCATTCGGCTTTGAGGCATACTGTTCGTGCAAAGGGTGGTGACATTAACCAGGTGCCTGAATCGAAGTAAGTGGAGCTCTGTCCGGCTATGTGGCCTAATGGTTAATAGCAGTGTTGTAAACAATAAGCCACCACTCCATATTGACGAGTGAGACAATGTTCATGATGTAGGTTCTGAACAAGTTCGTCATACTACTAGTTTGAATAAATCAGGATTTGATCTACTGAAAACAAAGTGGACCGTCAGTTAAACAATCTTATATTATTTTGTACTCACTCCAAAGATCATATCACCCTTACTATGTTTGAAATACTTGTTATTTTGTCACCGCGTAACAGGATTTTCTTGTCAGTATATCAATTCTAAAGAACTTGGATGATAGATCAGTACAAAAGGCTGCGATGAGACTGAATAAAATGGCAACAAACAGTCATTTTAAAGCAATTTTAACTTTGTCGTATATTTCCATGACAACTTCATGCAGACCGTTACGAGTGTGGATAGAAGGCAATTATTTGTGTTATTAATATGTTCCAAACAACATGAATCTCTAAAGTTCAAGAATAACATTTTTGTTCAGTAGAGATTAAGAACTTTATATTTTCCTACAAACTAGAGTGAGCTATTATAACTAAGGCGATATTAACACAAACACCCCATTTTAATCGACACAGAATAATGACTGAAACCATAAAGTGAGTAGTCAATCAACAAGATAACATATTTAAAGCTCTGTAAACCTTGGTTAGGAACGCAACAAAAAACACACCTATGAAGATATTGTGACATTTAGGGAAATTTACCTTCAGGGTGCAATATAGAAACATTCCTCCCGGCACGCCTACTCCATAAAGAAAGTCTAGGCCCCCCTCCCGTAACAAACCAATCCTCTTCGAACTGTTTGCAGGATAAAGTAGTTAACCAAGACCCAAGCTTGGGTCGAGATAATTCACTATTTAGATACGGTTTGAACACAGATGAAGCCTTATAGTCCCCATTCCGTATAACTCTGTGATCCCAAAAGCAGACAGTACCGTCCTCAGAACTAGTACCAAACTAACAAAATGAAACATTAGATTGAAAGCGAACCTCGTGTGCTCCAACACTGCAAATTTTATAAATTGTGGACCTATGTCCAGCAAGTTTGAGCTTTTCTTTGAAACCACAACCAATAAAAAAAGTATGGATAGTTCCATCACCCAATGCTGCCAAAAGAGTGTCACTTTCTGTATGATAACACAACCCGGTAACCTAAACACAATTTAGTGAAAGGTAACTAGTGTATCAATTCCTCTACTTTACCTCAGAAACGGTTGCGTAAAGATTTCCCGACGTCAGATGAACTGTATCGTGATATTTCAGAAAGCCGTCGGTAGGTGTAGTCCATTTGTATACAACAATCAGACCAACTGACCCACAGAAAACATAATCCTTCCCGAAACATAAAGCGTAAATATTTCCTGCATATTTTACGTTGATAATGCATTCTGGCTTCCCTTCAATTTGTGAATCTATAACGACGACATTGTAAGATCAATGCTCACATACCACAGGACAGCGAACATAACGAATAAATTAGTATTTTCTGTATATTAGTTCCAAAAAGTAGATATTTTCTACATGGAGATGTAACGGATGATAGTATGAATGTATGAGCTATTATTCTATTATTGTTCATGTCTGTAAGGAAAAAAAATGTAGAAAATAATATGAACTATATCATCTCTACAAACAATTCCCATAACCTGTTTTATTACTTCGTTTAAAGTGACACTCATTCGTTTATATTACCTTGAGAACCCTATTTAAGTCTTCTTACATGAGTGGAGACGAGCCAGTGATTTGTTTGTTCAACAGGAAAGACTGGATACGACAAGCTTCATTTGTTGGCACATGTGATCAATTAAATGCTGATAAAACAGCACTCACATCAGTTTAACATTTTAAAGCATAAAATGAGATTTGCGACTAGGAACGAAGTTTAGAGATTCTTAGTATCGATAGTAATTTATTAGTTTTTTTAGTGGAAAGTTTGTCCTATACTTTAGTGATGAACTAATAACATTTAGTGACAGATAGTGACTTGTAGATATTTCCATCTACCCGTTCAGCTACAAAGAATGAACACTTTGTAACCTCATAAGCCCAAGCTTCGTATTGTAGATGATGCTAGTTTGTGATGAGAGCTCTAACTCTTCTCTCTTACTGTACGAAGCAATTAACGTGAAACTTAATTATTTATGTTAAGACACATTACCTTTTGTAATTTTATCATCCTTTATTACGATCCCTTTTTATCATTAAATACTACCTTCTGATTCGCATAGTCCCCCAATGTCCTCTATATACTTCAATTTTACCATAAAAACTACATAAATAGACTTTCCCAATGTTAAAGTGATTTGGAATTAGGTTACATTTTTCTTCACTAATCAGTATGAAACTATTCCTGAGCTTCACTTCTCATGTGGGTTTTATGATATACGATAAAAGCATATTTTCACACTGTTATATCAATAGAAATACCAATAAAATTAGTCGTATCAATATACAAGTAATATTGCAAATTAAC